CCTATCAAGAGAACCACTTCTGTAATATTTTCCATTCTCAATATATACATACATATACATATATATATATATATATCATGTTCATGAGATCATGATTGTGTTCTTGTATATGTTTCAATGTTCTTGTCAGGATCCGACGAGCCCGAGACGTTCGTTCTACAAACTGAATATGTTGAAACGCCTTTTCGGTACGTTTTTATATCAGAGATACGGAGAAATATTCTATGACGTATTCGATTTAATCCCGTTTAATGATCGTTGTTTTTATGACGACAGATTCTAGCGTAAGGGCGGATTCCGGAAACAAACAAGCGGCCGGGGTAATGCTACTGACTCTAACGCCGTTCATAATGGTGCAACTCTCGGAGATTTTCGATTCCCCGGCTTGGAGGCACGTCGTTGTCCTGATCACTCTGATAATCTCGGCTTCCGCAACTATTTTGTATTTCATTTATTCGGTACGTAACCCTTTTTTTTGTACCAAAAGCCGAGCTTACGGTTTTGAAGAAACGATCGATTATTGCTCTTATAACCGTGAAAACGTTACGGAACTTTGCAGTATTACGACATGGATGAGCAGAGGAAAGCATTAAAGCTCTCGAGGTTTGAGCTCATGTCCGATGTCGTGAAACACTTGCAGCATTTTTCGCCCGAAAGCCTTTTACGAGACGGGCAACTTAATGAAGAGAGCTTGAAAAGGTTCGTTATAAATCTTTCTTATCCGAAATTCAGACAAGACAATGTTCGGTTTTTGCCATGATCTTGATCCGTTACGGCTCGCAGTTTGTTCAATAAATTCGATACGAACAATGACGGGAAGATACAAGCTTCCGAACTTAAAGACGTGACAGTCGAGTTCGGTCTGCTGGGGAGAATAAAGTGCGATATCCACGAGCTCGCGAACTCTTTGCTGCAAGAGTTTGACAAAAACAACGACGGCGAGATCGACGAGCGTGAATTCAAAAAGGGTATCACGAAATGGCTTAAAGAGCAGAAATTCAACTGTGACAACGATTCCTCCACATATAATCAAACTGTAAGTAAGGGTGGACACGGGTCGAGTATAGATCCGAACTAGAGTCCAAATATCTCGGGTTATCGGTTTTGACTAGTTATGTGAACCCGAGTTTGAATACAAAATTTAGAATTTTATCTTTCAAAATATTATCATATATTACGGGCTCATTATGATTAGATATCCGAAATTTACGGATTACCTAAACCCGAGCCAAAATTTTGACATAATATCTCTAAAGGTAGAAAGACATTTTACTTTTTATTCGGATACCCGCGGATAATATCCGATCTCTCATACCCAATTACTCGAATCTGAACCCGATTTTTGAGCTTTATTCGCGTTTTAATCGAATTCCGTCTCATATAGAGTTCGAAAATCGTTTTATCCTAGCCCTAACTATAAGAATATACCACGAAAAACGTAGATTCACATCAAAACGAAACAACTTTCTGAAATTCGTGTGGAGTGTTGAGAATTTTGTATGCAACTAACAGAGACGGAAAATGGTGCAGGAGGATTCCGAATCTGCAGTTCTAAAGGTCGAAGGGCCGAAGAAAGAACTCGTCGAAAAGCTGCTTTCGGGAAAAACGCTGAGAGCTGCAACTCAAGTCGTTGTAGGAATACTCATTGTCATATTTCTCGCAAGACCGTTCATGATGAACATCGAGCTCTTGTCCATATCAGCGGGGATTCCGTCGTTCTATATCGCTTTTGTCATGATACCCTTATCGAGAAATCTCAAGAACGTCTTATCCGCTCATTTCTGTCGCAGGAAAGATAAGGCGATAGTCACATCTCTGACATTCTCCGAGGTAAGCTGTTTTCTTCTCCGACAACATACGATCATCGATGCTGAATCAAGAACTAAGAACGGTGATTTTTTCCGCAGATTTACCGAGATGTAACGATGAATAATCTCATGGGCATGTCGATAATCTTGGCGATCGTTTACACGAGGGGTTTGGGATGGGATTACTCGACAGAAGTCCTTATTACAGTTGTTGTCGGTCTCATAATCGGCTTGCCTGCATATATCAGATCGAATTACTCGTTCCCGATTTGCATTTTGGCGTTCGTTCTGTACTTGGCCTCTCTCGTGCTCGTCTATCTCCATTTCCAGATTTGGGACAAAAACTGAGTTGCACTTCTCCACTTAGGGTTTTTTTTTGTCGGAATCTTGTGAGTTGTTGCATTTCATATGCATTACTTGTGTCTCACGTCAACTCGTTTCAACGATTTCTAACGAGTTCTCTCTCCGTAAAATCGATTTGAATCTCTGAATATACTTCTGTTCCTACGTTATTCATGTCCCATGCATGCCCTCGTTACATATTTCTTCAGACTCTCTCTCTCTCTCTCTCTCTCTCTCTCTCATAGTATGAATGGCTTTCTTCTTGCCCAAGTAACTGGGTTATCTATCCTTTGTCTTCTTCATCTGTGTTCTGGTTTTCTGCAATTCTGTTTCCCAATAAAAATCTTCCATGGCAGTTTGAATCTGTAAAAAAAAAGTTACAGGGCGCATACTTAACACGTGTCCTAATTCAATCTTAACCAACGAACAGATTTGTCTGAAGAAGTCAATAAGTCATTTACACAGTTTTTGTTTCATCTAAATTCTTTAATAAATTCACCCACCAACCATACCTCAAAGATCTGTCACTCACGCATTCAAATCAATCGCAATAATTGTTATTTCACCCTAATTGATCTTCCTCGTCTGGAAAAGACATGAATCTTAGTTTACCTCTAGGCTATATATATATGTGTGTGCGTGTCTGTGTATAGTAGTTAAAGTTATTTTACCCGTTCTTCCTCGCATTCACATACCATCTTTCAAGCTCCTTCAATGGCGGGTCTCTCTTTGTTTGCCTCTTTTCTCTCTCTAGCTTTGATCTCTGGTGTGTGAACTGTCGCGTTCTGAGTCCGGTTTCTGAGAACTCAATCCTGATTTCAGACGGAGTCGACCAAAGTGTCAGTGATCAGTTCCAGTTTCTTGTTCTTGATCCATCCAAGACCATGTCCGAGAAAACGTGCGTCCACGTGTACGGCGAACTTACAGAACATTTTCGATTCTTGCCTTGTTCCGACAACCTCGGAGGTTACGTTTTCCAGGTCTTCTCGTTCGGGTGTTTGCTGATAGTCGGCGACTACTTCTTGTCTGAAGCAAGATCTAAGCTCTTTGTAATCTTCGAGGTCGGCTTCTATGGCGGAATCGTCTTTCCTCTCCTCACCATGTTCCCAAGAATCTATCTAATGCTCTGTAAGTTCGCCGTCGTTTTTCGGATAAGGAATCGAAAATGTACAGCAGATTATCTGACAGATTCTTCCTTGTTTCGGGTTTTCAGCAGCGAGTGGGCCGTCTATTGACGTGTGCAATAGGTGCGAGGGCCCCAAAATTT